GAGAGAGAGAGAGAGAGAGAGAGAGAATTCCAAGCAGGATCCACGCTGCCAGCGCAGAGCCTGATACAGGGCTTGAACTCATGAACCCTGAGATGATGACCTGAGCCAAAATCAAGAGTCAGACACTTAAATGACTGAGCCACCCAGGCGCCCCTAGAAACCACTTCTTTCTGCCACAGGCACCAGTTCACATAACTGGTGGTCACTGACACATGTACTGTAGAACTAGTCTCATTAGGGCTCACTGGCCCGAGAGGGAGGGCAGTGTGTACAATCTGTTGGATGGGCTCCCTAAGCACTCCTGTCCCTACTAGCTCTTTAATCAAGACAGAGACTAACCCTTCCAGCCCCCTTCCCTCTCCCTGGCATCCTTACTGATACCACATGGCTAGGCTGAGAGAGCCAGGTGGGGTCCTGGCTGTATACCTGTCCCACTACCACCGTTCAAATCATGGCATTTCTCCACTGGGAACATATCTTATACGCAAGAGAAATATTACTCATATTCAAAATATCAATTTTTATAATATAATTAACAGTTTAAGCTACACTTAGATGTGTGTCATGGCCATCAAATAAAACAAGACGCAGATTAATTTCAAGGGTCATAATGGTGTTGCCTGTGCCATTGATAAAAGTCATTAACTGTAACCAGCATAAGTCTTAACAGCTGTAAGCCATCACCATTAGCCCCAGAAGGGAGTTATGAGGTCTGATAGTCAATCTTTAAGGACTAGGTAGGGCCAAAGCCTTGTGTCATGTGGTAAATCAAGTGGGCCAACTTTTGGCAGAATTGGAAGTTTGATGTGCAATAGAGGCTTTATCATAAATACAGTCTTTTACTTTGTGTAAGAGGCAACAGTTTTTTCTTTAAATGACAAAAGGATTCAGCATTGTGAAGCTGCCCACATTGTTTCAAGAAACTACTTGGCAAGCAGGCCCTGAATTGTTTTGGGACTTATCAGTCACTCTTGCTGGCAGGAAGCCAGGATCACTGAGATGGATACCTTTACCTTGTCAACCAACTGGGCATCATTTCCATTTTGCAAACTTTGAACACAGGAGGAAGTTTTCCTAACACTTTATGAACATTCACAGTTCAAACACGTCACACGTATCAATTCCAAGTTTATATAACAGCACATTCAATGAATCAACACGGGCTTCTCACAAAATCACTTTGACTTCTTTGCTGTTTCCTGCGTATTTTGCCCAAACTTTATTAGATGCTTTTTTTTTTTTTTACAGGGACATACCAAAGAGTTTTAACACAAGCACTTCGGGGGTTACAAGGTAGCTGCCAGGAGCAGCTAGATATCTTATCTCCTTGGCTAGAGGCTTCTGGAGTCCGGGGAGGAAGGGGCACACACGAGGCCAGGGTCAGCTCCAGCAGCAGGGAACAAGACAACAGCAGGCAGCAGTTAGCACAGCTTACCCTTATTTTCAGTTTGAAGTGGACTTTCCCTTGGTCTCAACAAATGACATTATAATAGTGAGCCTCAGCAAATGACCTTATAAGAATATGGCACCAATCTGGTGGCTGGTTTCAATCCAACCTCTTGCTGTCTCACCTTCCAAAAATTTATCAACACGTTGCACAGGATATCCCAGCCCACCCGGCCAACGCACAGGCAGGACAGTGAGAGAACCCCTGCTCCCCTCCCCCTGCCCACCACTCAGGCAAGAGAGGCAGTACCAGACCCTGGGATGTCTTAACTCCCAACATGGCCCAGACAAGCTTGCATGCTACCAGATCCCAAGGAGTCTTGTCTCTCCTAACCTGGCCCAATGCTACCCTGAGTGGGAGGGAAACCCTATCTCTACCTCTCCTTGCCCCCACTGAGGCAAGAGCATGAGAAACCAGATCCCAGGGAAATCTATCTTATCCTTTAACCTGGTCCACCCAACCCCTGGTCTTCTAAAAGAAAGCATTCTATCTAAATGAAGCCTCACATCTCATCAGAGCCTGGGAGGCAATGGGAAACTGTCCCAGGATAATCTCTCTGGGACAGATAAGATGGAAAGTGGGAGGGGACTTTAGGTCTGCACTTCACAAGCCTCCCATCCTCTCCTGTTCCAGGAGGACAACCTATGTAGATTCTTGCAAAGTCGCCAAGGCCAAGCTGCTGCCCTACAGACATCCTGCATGTATCTAAAAGCATTCTTGTCTAAAATTAAGGTCATTACCCACCAACACAAGCCTATTCTTCCTCTGTTCCATATACAGTAAAACCCTGGATTGCAAGTAACTTGTTCTGCAAGTGTTCACAAGACAAGCAAACATTTCTAATCAATTTTAACTTGATAAATGAGCGATGTCTTACAAGTAGTTCGTGCAGCCAATCGTCACATGATCACAACCGAACCAATGGTTCTTGAAATTCACTTTGATATACGAGTGCTTTGGATTATAAGCATGTTCTGGGAATGAATTATGCTCGCAAACCAAGGTTTTACTGTGTGTGTGTGTATATATATATACACACACACATACACATATATAGCGCCAGCATCCAAAGGACCTCAAATGTGAAATTCAAAAATCCTGGTTTGTCTCTCACTCTCTTACCCCATGCATCTCTAAACTCTCCATCTTCCTATTTATGGTCCCACTGTCAGTTTCTTAGTTTATAGAAATCCTCTCATCTGGATTATCACGTTAACCTCCTAACTAGTCTCTGAAGGCCATGACTCTCTTCTCCAATCCATCTTTCACCTGGCTGTAAGATTAACTTTCCTGCAGCACAGCTCTGCTCATGACTTTCCCCTGCTCAGAAAACTTCAGACTAAAAGGCCCAATACCTGGGCCTCCCAGTCACATCCTGGTCCTAGTCTGCCTTTTCTAACCTTATTATCTACTTGGTACTTGGAGCAAAAAGACCTGGGCTTGAGTCCTGGATCTGCCACTTACTAGACCTACAACCTTGGAAAAGTCCATTAAATTCTGAGCTTCTGTATCTTCATCTGCAGGATGAGGATAATAAGGATGGTAATGACAGTACTAATATTAATTATAATAAGGCCGTTGACTTCAGAGGGTAAAGTTACAAATGTATTTGTGAAGGCTCTTTATCAGCTCTCTAACGACAGACAGTTTTGACTACTTGTAAACTCCCTGCTCTAATTAAACTCAACTACTCAATATTCTTCATGCTTTTGTTCACACAGTTGTTCCTTTTGCCTGGAATGCCCTTCCCTCCCCACATCCATATCCACATGTCCCGATCCTTCAAATCTCAGCTCAAATGTCACCACCTCTACAAAGCCTTTCCTAACCCTCCTCTTCCTGGTGAGCTGGAAGTCATCCCTCCTTCCTCTCAACTCCCACAGCATTCGAGGTGTGGATCTTTGCTGATGCACCCCTTTCTGTTTTGCTGTTATACAAAGCATAAACCTCCTGGACATGTTTTATCTCCCCCTACTAGAAAAGGGAGTCTGTGCAGTGCTCATTTTTGTACCTACCACAGTGGCCTTGCCCACAGTGTGTGCTCAATAAATATTCACCGGATGAATGATTCACTAGAAAATTAATACATAAGTGGAGAAGAAAACCCTATTGAAGGAACACCTAAAATGAAAGCTTTGGGCTACCAGTTAACATTTTGCTCTCCTCTTTTTCCTATTAGTAATATTACCAAAAAGGGTTGTGATTTGGTGTTTAAAATCTGGGTTTTAAAATCTGGGTTAAAGCAATTGCTTTAAGTAGAGGCTGGGGTACATCTAGCAAGCTTTGAAACCACTTTCAAGATTTTGTACCGTGCTACCTTGTCCCATAAACGTCTCTCCCTCCTTTCAATTTCTGAAATATTTACAATGTGCTCTGTGTGCTGCATTTGGTCCGGGAATGCCTTTCTTCTTTGCTTTCCACACAGTATTTAGCACACTACTGCAAAAGCTGATGTACTTGGCTTCAAGGGATCAACTGAAAACGCTTTAAAAGCAAACATCGGTGGAGCGAGAGGTTAAGTGCTCAGTATTCATTCCAGCGGTGTGAGGGCGCTCGTGGACCACGGACCCAGCCCTCCGCAGTCGCAGGGAGCCAAATGCACTCGTGTCATCTCTTAAGGGATGTCCCATCATTCCCAGATTCCCTGGTCCCAAAAGTTGAAGAACTCCGTCTTCCAGACCTTTCCTCAGGACCCTACCGGGTCCTCCGCAATGCCCCTCTGCTAACTTGGCGCCCTCCGCCGGTCGCCAGTGCCTGCGGAGCCCAGCTGCCTCAGGGCCCTGTATTTTTATGCATCACGTTTTGATTATTAACTAAGCTATCCTAAAGTGCCCGGAACATCACGAACCAGAAAGAAAACGCACAAGGGAGTCCTAACTCTTCCGGCACACCTTGTTTCCTGAGCTTTATTCGCTGGACCTCGCCCCCCACCCCCACGCCTGGCGAGAGAGTCGTCCCCCTCCGCCTGCGGGGTCGGGGCCGGTCCCGACGCCCCCACCCCAGCCCCGGCCCGCCCCGCGCGGCTCCGCACATTCCTCTCGCGACCACGGCACCACGTTGGCACCGCTGCCTCGGGCTATCGCGGCCAGGCCCGCCCTCGCCACTCACCTAGCAGCTCCGCGATGGCACTGAAGGGTCGCGTGTGGCTGCTGGAGTTGCTCTGTAGGTAGCGGGGGCTCATCTGGGGGCGAGAGAAGGTCCCGTCCCGCGTGAGGCCTCGGCCCGCCGGGCCCTCCCCGCGCGCCCCCCGCAGCCCCTCGGGCCCCCGACCTACCGTGCTCAGGCGTATCCCAAAGGCCTGCGGGCCGCCGCCCGGCCGGGCCAGCGCGCTGCCCGGCGCGCCAGGGCCCGCGGGGGCCCCTCGGTACAGGAGCATTTTTTTGGCCGCCACGATACTCGCTTGCTGCCGCCGGACTCCTCGCCCGGCAGTCCCGGACTGGCCCTCACTCACTCCCCCTCGCAGCTGGTGGCGGCCGTCTGGGGCTGGCCCTCCCTCGCTCCCACCCGCAGCTGGCGGGGGCGGGGCGCGCTCCAGCCACCTGTCCCGGGCGGGAGGGGTGAGGCCGGCGGAGCAGAGCGGCGGCCCCGCCCTGTCAGCACCTCTCCCGACCGACCGACTGCCCGCCGGGGCGGCCTCAGGGCCGTACGGAAATATGGCGACCTCCTGACAGCCGCTCCTTGATCCCCGCCCCTAATTAATTCTTGGCGTTTGCCATAGGCCAGGCCGCCGAGCGGGAAAGCGCGGGGGGGGGGGGGGGGGGGGGGGGGGGGGGGGGGGGGGGGGGGGGGGGGGGCGCGGGGAGGGGCGGGAATGAGGCAAGGGAAGAGAGAGGATGTAGGGATTTCTGGAACAGAGTCCCAGTTAGGCTGCATGACTAACGGGCAGGATAAGACAAGTCTTTCAAGTTCTAAAGACTGCAGTTTTGCTATCTGGGAAGATAGCAGGCTCGCGTGATGGGAAAGCATTCTGACTCCTCTGGCTCCAGTGCCTCCAGAAGCACCCAGAAATTTCTGGAACGCAATTGGCAAATCATCTTCAAAGCTTTTCAAGTGTGTGTGTGGGGGGGGGGCGGCTGTTTATAAAAGAAAAAAAAAATGGGATGCACTTAAATGCTCCAAAATACGGTATTGGTTAATTTATGGAATGCCCATGAAATGGAATACTATGCAGATCTTAAAGGCCATGTTTGTAGATGAATATTTATAGATGTGCAAAATATTCATGAAGGAACTAAAGAAACAAGAAGTTACAACATATTGTGTAATGTGAGATCTTTTTATTGGAAAAACAAGGATGTATATGCATATATATTCATACATACATAATACATATGCATGCATATACACACACAGTGAATAACACTTGAAATGATGTATTCCACGATATCTCCAGGTCTGAAACTCTAAATTTGTTTCTTATTTTTCTTATTTGTATTTTCTAATTTTTGTGCTACTACACATACACTATTTGATTATAGAAAAAATTTTTAATATTTATTTTTGAGAGACAGAGCATGAACGGGAGAGGGCTTGTGACACAGAATCCAAAGCAGGCTCCAGGCTCTGAGCTGTCAGCACAGAGCCCTATGTAGGTCTCAAACCCACAAACTGTGAGATCATGACCTGAGCTGAAGTTGGATGCTTAACTGCCTGAGCCACCCAGGCACCCCAAGATATTTTTAATTAAAAAAAACTATGACATTCCCTGGTATGGATGAACTATAATTTATTTGACCATTCCTCTATGAAAACTGGTTGTTTTCAATTTTTTTTTTTGACTACACAAAAAATGCTGCCTCAGACATCCTCATGTATAGATCATTAATTTCTGGTACTGTAATTTCTACAGGATATTGCTGTCTAATAGCATGTGCGTGGTTGACTTTAATAAATACTGTTAGGTAGAGGCAATTTGCCCTCCCAGCAAGTCAGCTATTTTGCTGTGCTCATAGCACTACATATCAGATCCTGCTCTTTTAACTCCTTCCAATCTTTTGAATAAAAAATAGTATCTCTTTATTGTTTTAATTTGCATTTCCCCAACTACAGGTGATGCTGAATCTCTTCTCAAATATTTATTGTACATTTGAATCTCCTTTTATATAAATGCCTGTTTCTATCCATTGAGCATCATTTTCCTCCCACTGGGTTCTTTGCATTCATCCTTTTTTTTTTTTTTGGTATCTTAAAAATTGTGTTTCAAATACACAAAAGTACAGAGAATGATATAACAAATCCCCATATACTTATTATCCAGATTCAAAAATTATCAAGACTTTGCCATACCTGCTTTATATATTCTTTTTTTTCATTTCTGTAATCATTTTAGAGCAAATTTGATATCATTTTACCCTATATACTTCAGTGTCCTCTAAAAATATGGACACTTTTCTAAGAAAACAAACTGCGATGCCACTTTCACACTAAACAAAATTCATTAACAATTATCTGATGTCCTCTAGTGCCAGTCCATATCCTGATTTCTTCAATTATCTCAAAAATATGCCTTTTTACATTTGGTTTGTTTAAATCTAGATCCAAACAAGATGTACACATTGCACACGGGATTTGTCTCAAACCTACTTTAAACAGTAACAAAGTTACTTGCTGAAGAAACGAAGTCACTTTTACTGTTGAATGCCGTACATTCTTCTCAGGTGTCTGTTTGCTCCCTCATGTTGTCACTTAGCTTGATCCTCTTGTTAGAAGAAGTGGAACTTAGCTATAAATCATGAGTTGGTTCTAAAGGCTTGGTTCTAAAGCCTTCATTAGATTCCAGGACAAAGATTTTTCTGAAAAAAGGAATGCTTGTAGATGGTCCTGTATACTTCCTGTTACATCACATCAGGAGGTACATACTATCCAAGACTTAGTGGTATTCAGTTTGATCAGTAGGCTCAGGTGGAGGCAGCCTGAATGCTCCACCATAAAGTTCCCCATCAGCCTTTTCCTTTATGGTTTCATCCATCAATGTTCATCATCTAAAACAAAATTGTATTGGGGCTGCAAAACAATGATTGTCTAATCCCAGAATTTCTTGTATTAACTGGATCCTTCTGTATAGAGCTTACCTTCATCAACCATGGCTCTTTGGTTACTCTGAAATACAATTCGTATAGGAAGGACAGGATAAGTGCTCAATTCTTTACTTTTAATTGATAATTTTTAGGGTCAAGAGATGGTGCCTGTGGTGGCTACTGTAATATGCCAGCCCATCTTCCATTTATTTTTTGTTTTAATTCTTTTAATGTCTATTTATTTTTGAGAGGCAGAGAGACAGAGCATGAGTGGGGGAGGGGCAGAGAGAGAGGGAGACACAGAATCTGAAGCAGGCTTCAGGCTCTGAGCTATCAGCACAGAGCCGGATGTGGGGCTCCAGCTCACAAGTTGTGAGATCATGACCTGAGCTGAAGTTGGACGCTCAACCGACTGAGCTACCCAGGTGCCCCGCCCATTTCAATAAAGGACTTTTGGGCCCAGCTGCTCAGAGCACTGTAGGCAAGCTGACTTCAGCTCTTACCCCCTTCAGGGATTGCCCCAGGTACAGAGAATGGCTTCCCTTAGGATCACAAAGTTTTCTGAGGCAGCCTACAGTGTCTCACCAAAGAAGAGGTATAAAGGCTTGACCATCTCAGCCCAACTCGGGACAAGTCTGAAGGATCATTCTAACTCCAGATCTCTCTGTGGGATCGGCTGAGGCTGTTGGGCCTGTAGTGCAGGTCTATCTCCCCTCTGCCATTGCCAGCTTCCTTCCATTGACACTAATCCAAAAGACACCTCTTAGTAAGCATTCTGCATGCTATGTTCTATCTTGGAGTTTGCTTCCTGGGGAACTCAAGTGATGATCCTTGAAACTAAGACTTATCCAAGAAATTGGCACTTAGATGGGATTGGGGAGCTAGGTCATTCACTGCCCAGTTGGAAATTAGGACAACATTACAGATAGCCCCCTGCCACAAGGTGGCAGTCCTATTATTGTTAAGATCTTCACTAGGTGGTGAACTGGAATGGTATACTGGTAGAAGGTAACATAGGATCTGGTATGAAATATCAAGTGTTTGAGAAATATGGGGGAAATAGTAGCCCTAAGACCAATAGAACTCAGTAGTTACTGAGAGCCAAAGAAGATTAAACTTCCAATGGAGACAGGTTTGCTATGCCCAAATCAGAATGCTTCCTGGAAAAGAATAGGGCACTGACACATGGTTTGTGGATATCTAGATTGATGCCACCAAAACCTTGAATCTCCAGATTTCCCTACAGAATTGGGCCAACTTCCCTACTGGTAATCTCCTCACCTCCCGCTTGGAGATGTTGCAGAATCTCTCCACAAAACGATGTGTACACTCCCTTTCCCTCCTGGCCGCTAGGCCTATAAGAAAGAGTTAAGGCACAGCATGAACATGCTAAACCTGATAAGGGAGGAAAGTGTCTATGCCCCCAGGAAGCTGTAAAGTCTAGCCAGCATGGATTGGCAGGAGCTGGAAGAGTTTGCATGGAATTGGATTCTGAGGGTGCTTGATCAAGGGAGCTAGACTCTAACGTTGGATAAGGGTGAGTTTATCAATCTGGGAACACTCTCCTGGAATATAGGATTTAACACCCTGGCATTGGCCACAAGAAATGGTGCAAACTCACTACTGGGATGGCTCCTAGAATACAGAAAAAGTGATGACCCATGCTACGTGAGCTTGAAATGCCAGCATTGCTGTGGCAATAGTGGAAGAAGGAATAAAAAGATTCAGAACTGAGCATACTGGAGTGGATATACTAAACAAGACTGGAAAACTAAACAGAAAGGCACAGGATACACCATTTACTGAAGAAGAGGAATGAGCTGGTGAGAGGGGCACTAGCACCACTAAGAAATTCAGTGGTGGATGATCGTCTCAGTGGCTCAGTCGGTTAAGCTTTGGACTCTTGCTTTCAGCTCAGGCCATCATCTCATGGTAGTGAGATTGAGCCCTGTGTCCGGCTCTATGCTGGGCATGGAGCCTGCTTAATATTCTTTCTCTCTCTGCCCCTTTGCCCCTCCCCTGATCTCTCTCTCTTTCTCAAAAAAAAAAAAAAAAAAAAGAAAAAAGAAAAAGAAAAAGAAAAAGAAAAAAATTCACTGGTGGCTCTCTTCTGCAGGTTAGGCCTGACAATAGAGTGGTAGCAGTTACTACAGATCTAGGATCACTATAGCAGTGGGGATTGTAAAGCTCTGAAACAATAGAAAGCCTATGGCTGAGGGTAACTATCAGAAGTCAGGTGGGTACAATTACCAAAATGAGTAGCAAGGTTGGAAGAGGAGCCAGAGAGCCTGAAGTGAAGTTATGAAAATAGAATATAGCATCTCTGGGGGAAGAATACATGCACAGAGACAATAAATGT